AACACGTAGCTTTTCCTGCCATTAAATGGATGGGATTATAAAGGCACTATAAAGGAGATATCATTTACCCTTGCCTGAGGGCAATTAATATATCTGACCTATCATTTTGCTTATTCAGTGAAACCAGTGGGCTTGCTTTATTTAGTCTGGCTTAAGATGGGRTTCTTCCATATGTGGGATCTCTTTTTCTTGTTATTTATTACCTGGATGTATCCAAAGAGATGAGAAATTTTAATTGCAGGCTATTGTGCTTGGCCACCTTCTAGGCTGGTGCACAAAGTCCTTCTGATAAAAAAAAAAAAAAAAAAAAGAAAAAAAAAAAGAAAAAAGAAAAATATTTATTTGACTTGGCCAGTGTCAGGGCTGTCTCTTAGCCAGAGAGAAGGGATGTTTGTATAACTTGTCCCTCCATCCCACACTCCTGAAGCACTGTCTTTTGTAATGACTGACAACCTTCTGGAACTTTATTTTAGTAAAGTTGCACTAAAATTTGTGGTAGTGTTTGGCACCAGAATTTAACACTCCTGTTGTCACACCCAGTGGTAGTTTTATCAGTGCCTCCAACTCATTAAGGAAGAAACAAAAAAGAAAATGACAGAAAGCAAAAGAGAAATTAAAAATTACTCATTTAAGTTTAGGAAGCTTCCAGGCAGAACCAGAAGGACCAATGAGAGGAAAAAATGCTGGGAAAAAAAAGGAACAGAAAGGGGGATGATGAAATCCAGGGATACAGGGAGGGAAAAGAGAGAAGTGAGAAAAAGTAGAAACAGGGAAGTGGCAAAAGAAAAAGGAGAAGCTGCTGTTTTAAAGATATGGGAAAGGTGACTTATGRAAACAAAGCAAAAGAGAGTAGGGAATGGGATTTTAAAAGGAGAGAATAAATGAAGAGTAAATKGATTTAGAAGGAGTGTGATGRAAAAAAAGAAGTAAAGAAAGAAAGGTAAGCTGAGGAGAGAAAAGCAAGAAGCAAATTAATTTTATCTTCAGTGTTAAAGAATAAAAGAAGCTAAAACAGAGCATTTATTTCCCGCACAAGACATATGTGTTGAATAGTGCTTGAATGTATTAAATGTGCTTAAATAGTATTAAATGTGAGACAGCAGYAGGGCTTGCCATACAGCCTCTGTGAGAGTCTGTCCTCTAACCCTGTGGGTYTTTAACTCCCTTCCATTTTTAGACCTTTTATCGCCGTAGAGATCCAACCCTTCCAGAGTGAATTTTGTCCTTGCTACTGTAGGTTTGGAGAAACTCTTGAAAGTAGCTCACAGATGCCTGAAGAGTCCCCAGACAGCAGCTGGAAAACTGGATGGAAGTGGCTGATGCTGCTTTTACTACTGATTGCTCCCATAGTTCAAGCAGTAGCAACCTACATGCTGGAAAAACTAGTCCCAGATTTCAACTCTGGTGTTAGTCCAGTCAAATGGGAAAATTAACTCAAAATTAGTGCTGGTTTTGATGAACTGGGGAGACTTACCACATAGATTCAGACCTGAATGCACCACATAGCAAAAATTATGATGAAGGTAGTTCCCGTCACAGAAGTAGAGAATAATTTCTGAGGCAGAGTCAGAAAAGCTGATTCTGTGCTGATTTTACCACATAATAACTCTGAATTATGGAAACTTCTTCCTCTTACATGTGCTGTGCAGGGAAAATTTTGACTTATCAGGGTTACAGTAACCGCAAAACTTAGTACAATTAAAACCACAAAACACACAGAGAGGCAGGTTTTACTCATGTTATCACTACACATTTGATTTATTTACAGCTTGTTAYGTTTTCATCAGAACAAACAGGTTTAATGGAACTACATGACCATAAACAAGCATAGGATCTGARTGGGACATGGAGATTTTAATTGTGTTACTCTGACTGACATCCTGCAGTGGAGTAAATGTTAAGACAGTAGAAAACTTCTGCTGTGAGTTTGGGAATCTGTCCCTTGGTATATAATGGTGTCTATAGTTTTTTAAAGTAATGATCCAGCCATATTTTAGGTTTAATCAAATATCCACAGTGTGTGAAATAGTGCCAAGTGATGTGGAGGTGGGACTTGGTCAGAAAGAGATAAAGGAAAGGATTTTTTTTTCTACACTGGAGACTCCTGGAGGGCTGCAAGGACCACACCGTGGGGTGTTATTCAGCCTAATTTCTCTGCAGAGGGGAAAGAACCCTGTTCATGTCGGTCTGGGTGATGAGCTGCTGTACCTGGCTTAAGGGGAAACAGAAATTAAAACATGCATGTTACCTCTGTTAAAAGAATGCTGTGTCAGGGGAACTGTCCCCTGTAGTTTGTGATGAAAGAGAGAAATGGATTGGAAAAGGACCAGTAAATGAAAGGAGAGGGGAGGCAAATGAAAGATATTTTATGAGATGGAAAATTAAACTGGCAAGAACATCAGAGCATTTGATGGCTGTCCTGGGTTTTACTTTAACTTCCTTCTAGTCTTAATTATTAATTTTTGTTTTTTATTTTTTTTTTTTTTAACTGGAGTGTGATTCTGTGTCTTTGCTGAGATTAATTAGCTTTGATTTCAAATGGGATCAGGATAAAACCCATATGACACAGTGGAACTGGGTTTATTTTTCAYTGTGGTTTCATTTTCTTTTTTCACTGAAGAATTTCAAGCCAGGACATGTTTCAGTGGCCTAATCTCAAWCGCTCACAGGAGCAGTTTCTCTGTTTGCTTTTCAGGGAGGAGCTGGCTGACWTCAGGAGGAGTTCAAGAATGAGCACAACTGGTTTGCTGTCAGTTTGGATTTCCAAGGTACTTATACCCACATGGAAGGAGGGAGCTGCTTTTTTTGCCATTATTCTGCAACATTGCTCTGCTTAGCTGAAAATACTCTAAATRCATCCCCACTTTTGATACAGCTACCTAAATAAGGACAGACAGTTGCTAAATTTCTGTCATAATTACAGAAGGCACCTGTTCTTGGCCACTAAAACCGATGTTGCCARCACATTTCCACAGTAACTTCGTGCTTAAAATTTTCCAACCAACTATCTTTTGGGAAGAAATTTTCCACATTTGGCTTCTGCTTGAGAGGAAATTTTTTTTTCTTCTAGGCTTGAGAAAAACGGTGCCCAGCTGTCCTTGAGCACAGCATGAATTATAAAATTATGCCTCTGAAGTAAAAAGAACTTCCAAGGTGAAATAAAAAGCTTGCTCTAGACCCTTCTGAAGAGCAAAGYCCTTGCCTGGCATTATTCTTGACATTGATTTATCTAGATTAATAAAAATACAGCAATAAATATGTTTTGATAGAGCTGAGAATGATTTATCTATAAGTGAGTGAAAAAGAAAAGCTTGCAGCTCATAGGAGCTGTGAAYGGAGAGCTGCCAGGTAGGTCAGAGGAGTTCACTCCTGCCCTCGCAAAGTGCACTTCATTGTTTGCAGAGAACAGGGTGCGACTGCACCTTCCACAGGAGGGAAGCCAACGTCACTGCTCCAGACTCCTTCCCTTCCCTTCCCCACCAGGTCGGTGTTTTTCTTCCAAAAGCAGGCAATTAAATGGAAAATAGGAGTGTTAAATTTGCAAACTTGGGCTCACTGGCACTGSGGCTTTAAAAAAGCTAAGTTTCAAAAAAGCTTGAGTGGCCAATTAGCAAATGTGTACACACATATATATATATATATTAATATATACATCCAGGCAGCCACATGCACACAGGAGGGAGATACAGAGTCACTTTCAAACTAGTGTTAGAAACCTATATCCTTGACAAAATGCTCCAAGCAATTAAAATATCCCAGAATATACCACTTGAGACATATTAAGTGTTATCAAAACTGACATGTTGAACATTATTAAATTAATCAACCATTTGCAGCACTTGGTTGGGATACACATTTTATATATGAAGGTATACATTTTACATTGGTTCAGTTAGAATATCCTCAAACATAAAAAGTCCTGGTTTTTCCATGCCAAGTACAGAGACTTGAAGACTGTCTTAATAGCATGTTTGCATGCATTATGTATGAAATATTATTATGCTGGATAATCCCATGCATCTGTCTTTGTAAGATTGCAGCGTCTCCCCTGGGTACGTGCTTTTTTGTCTTTTTTTTTTTTAATTTTTTTACATCTTCTAACACTTTGAGGGCTGTTAGAAGGTAATTTCTGTCTGCTAATAAACCAGGGAGAAAAAAGGAACTTAAACAAAAYCCCCTTCACCACAGCCACAACTGTATTTCCCTCTCTGCTATAGGAACTCCCTGTTTTTTTGTAAGAWCATAAGGAAATAACGTGCTGCTGTGTTTTAAGAAACCGTAAATAAAATACCTCAACAAAACAAACAAAAACTCCAAACTGTATTATTTTTAGTTTTCTATAATTTCATTAAACGGGTCTTTCCTCCTCAGAGTAAAAACTGAAGCCTTCTTCTGTGTGTGAAATAAACTTTTAGCTGTCATCTAAAGTAGCGGGGAGAGGCGGGGGGG